CTGAATTTGGCATCCCCTCAAAACTCATACGGCTGTGTAAAATGACGTTGAGCAATACCACCAGCTCCGTCAGAATTGGAAAAGACCTCTCCGAGCCGTTCGCCACAAAACGGGGTTTCAGACAGGGCGACTCCCTTTCATGTGACTTCTTTAATCTGATGTTGGAGAAGATAATAAGAGCTGCAGAACTGAACCGCTCAGGAACAATTTACTACAAGAGCGTGCAATTGCTGGCTTATGCCGATGACATCGACATCATCGGTAACAAAAACCGCGAAGTCTGTTCTGCCTTTTCCAAGTTGGATAGGGAAGCAAAGCGCATGGGTCTGGTGGTAAACGAGGACAAGACGAAGTATCTCCTGTCATCAAACAAACAGTCAGCACATTCGCGCCTTGGCACCCACGTCACTGTTGACAGTTACAATTTCGAGAAAGTAGAGAATTTCGTTTACTTGGGAACCAGCATTAACACCGATAATAATGTCAGCATTGAAATCCAACGTAGAATCACTCTTGCCAACAAGTGCTACTTTGGACTGAGTAGGCAATTCAGGAGTAAAGTCCTCTCTCGACGTACGAAAACCACGCTCTATAAGGCACTCATCATGCCCGTGCTGGTATATGGCGCAGAAGCATGGACAATGACAACATCCGATGAGCCGGCTCTTGGGGTGTTTGAGAGAAAGATTTTGCGGAAGATTTACGGTCCTTTACGCGTTGGCGACGGCGAGTACCGCAGACGATAGAACGATGAGCTGTATGAGCTTTACAACGATATGGACATAGTGCAGCGAATTAAAATACAGCGGCTCCGCTGGCTTGGTCATGTCGTTCGAATGGACACCGACGCTCCAGCTCTGAAAGTATTCAACTCGGAACCCGCTGGTGGTAGCAGAGGAAGAGGGAGGCCCCCACTGCGATGGAAAGATCAGGTGGAGAAGGACTTGGCTTCACTTGGCGTTTCCAATTGGCGTCAGTTGGCACAGAGGAGAAACGACTGGCGTGCTTTGCTGAACTCGGCCAAAATCGTTTAGGCGGTTACAGCGAAGAAGAAGAAGACAGTAACGTCATCCAACAAAATATCTTGATTCCACTCCTCAATGGATGTCACTGTATAGTCAACCTATAAAAAATATTAACTATGTCTGATAGTGTCCCTAAAATGGCTTAAGAAAAACGACAAACCTGAGGATTTAATTCATTAAGCACATCAACTGCGCGCGTCATTAGTAGCTGAAGCTCCGAATCCATATTTGCTTTCAGAATGCTCAATGGAACATTTTCCTCTGGATCTTCCTCAGATTCCGTGAAACTCAAAAGATTTTTCCAGCATTTAGCCATAGTGTCTGTACTGACTTTATTCCATGCGATCTCTAGAAACGTAACAGCATCCTTTAATGTTACTGTTTTCATTGAACTGACTAAATCTGAATTTTTTGCCGCCATCATGGCTAAAAGACTTGTTCTATAGTAAAGCTTCGTTATCTTAATTGCATTTTGGTCCATTGGCTGGATTAGTGGGGTCACATTTGGCGGAAAAAACATTGCAATTATGTTTCCATCCTCTGTTTTAAGCTCCAATTCACTTGGATGAGATGGAGCATTATCTATTAGAAGAAGTGCTTTAACTGGCAGATTCTTTTTTGAAAGAAACTCTGTTACCTAAAAATAGAGAATTTTAATTGTTAAAAATTATGTCTATTCTGCCACATATGAAAAATTTTAACCTGCGGCACAAATGATTTATGAAACCAATCGCGAAAAATAGTTGATGTCATCCATGAGGACTTGGAACTTGTGTACTCAGTAGGGCAGTTGAAATTTAAAAAAACGCGCGGATTTCTAGCTTTTCCAATTACTAGCAGTTTGAGTTTGTGATTTCCGGATGCATTAGCACAACATAAAAAAGTGATTCGTTGTTTTTCCGTCTTCATTCCCGGAGCACTCTTTTCGGCACTTGATACATAAGACTTGTCTGGCAAAATTTTCCAGAACAAGCCAGATTCATCAGCATTGTACAATTGATCGTGACATAGACCCATTTCTTCGATTTTTGCTTTTAGAATTGCTTTAAATGGATCAACAAGCTGAGGCTGTGAAGAAAGCTTTTCTCCAGATATTTTAAGAAGTCGAATGCCAAATCTTTTCTTAAATCCTTGCAGCCACCCATCACTTGCGTTAAAAGCTGAATCTTTTTCTTTTAGTTTTAGATGTATCTCTTTAGCTTTTTCCTTCAGCGCTAATGCATTTATAGGATAATTTCTTTCCCGCTGCTTAATAAACCAACGGTACAAACATTT